TTTCTGGTCCATGACTGATTATAAAACCTTGGAAGAACAGAATTCTAAAAACATAATGTATATTATAGTCTGAGGTCTTGGGTACTGCAACAGTAAGCCTCCATAGACAAATCCTCTTGAACTACAGTCGTACTCTGTGGAAGGAGGTCTGGCTAGAGAGCTTTTATGTACACAAGCTGCAGTGTCATACAGAACGAGATCACATACAACATTAAATAATGCCATAAAGTAACTAGTATTGTACCTCATGTTCTGTCCTGTGTTCACACATTCATGTAGTATTTCCTCATGAGTATTTTCCACACACCTCCAACTTCCCTCCAAAGGGCAGCACATCTCTCCTCAGTCCCTGTGGCTGGGAATCAATCCCAGCATGCACCTCCGCTACCTGCCACTGGCCCACATGCTTTCCTGGACATATTCTTGGCCAGCCACCACTTTTTTGTGCTGCTCTGCAAAGCCATTGTCCACTCATTAGGGTAGGATGGTTGTTCTGCAGAAGCGGAGCAGCATCCCCCGCAGCTGCCACACTCCATGCTCATGCGTAAGTGATTGCACATACCTCTCCCTTCTCTCTTTGCACATGTGCCAGACATTCTCTTCCCCGCACCCACCCATGTGTAGGTGATGAAGGCTTTCCTGTGTAGCACAAGGGCAATGCAGCTACTGTCATTTTAGCACAGGTTGGCAACCAGCCAGGAGCACCACACACGACTGCCCTGACGGCTGCTGCTCAGGAGGCGCTTCTTCCCTGCTGGTGCACACTTGACATCCTCACCATGCTGCCCCACTGTTCCAGCCCTTCACAGTGATGCCTGACTGCCAGTGGGGCAGTACCATGAGGCAACAGGGCATGACAGGGCATCTGGGCAAAAAGAAGCATGGAGCGAGCCGATCAACATGCTGCCGCTGGCAACTCAGCAGTTGCTAGGACGAATGGGCAACAGAAAATATCCACTGGAGCACCCACTGCTGCCACAGCCACTCTTGTCACCAAACCTGCCAGAAACAGGGATACCTCAGAAAAACATGGCAACTGAAGTTACATATAATGACAAGCAATAGTGAAGCACAGAAACCTTAGAACAGACTGTTGATTCTTCAGGGAGAGTCACAGTGATCAAATGTGCCACATTTTGTCATATTTCCTGGACTGACACATAAAAACAACACATATATGAGAGAGGTCACAAACACAATGGAGCCTTTCTATTGTGGCATTCCTTTTTTAAGACAGTTCCTAAGTAAACTTGCCTAAGACTAAATATTTTGATACCTTGCTGCAATGTGAAGCTTTGTAATTACCTAAAACTTATGTATATATTTTAACCTTGCAGCTCAGCTTTTAATGCTGCAGTGATTTTGCTGCACTGCTTATTTAACACCATGTATTAGTTTGCTTCACTGGTGCTAATTCAATTAGGTTATCAACTGAGATCTTACCAAGAGATACTAATTCTGTAAAATGAATAGAATCATTCAACTAGCCACTGCCAGAAACAAAATGCTGGGCACAACCATCTAGAAGACTGCAGGCTTTTTTCCTTTTCTCTCTCTCTCTCTCTTTTTTTTTTTTTTTTTTTTTTGGGGGGGGGGGAGTCTGAGCATCAAGGTCCTTTGACTTTGATGGCCAAACTCCAAAGGCCAAGCCCCCATCCCATCCCCTCACAGCCCACACAGAAATAACTGCACAAGCACCCCCTCTATTTCCTATTTAAGATACATTATAGTCCAAAGGTTATTCATCATGTAGTTTTTAATTATGTAGCACAAGGCTGTATAGTCATGCAATGTTTAAATTTTTTGGTAAATGAATTCCTTTAATCCATTCACAATTATTTGCTTTTCCAGAGGTTTCTGTAAGATTATTGAACAGTTTTTCTATCTGGAAGATGCTAACACAGATACCTGATTTTACACTTCTCAAAACTCTGAATTTGTGTTTGCAAAGATCGCATGCCTCTTCTTCACAGCAGAAATGCTTTAAAATAAATATACAGAGTTGAGAAAAAGACCCTAATCCCATTGTTCCTTTGCAAATCTACATACGCAGAATCAACCCCACACCTGTTAAATGCTAAGTTTCAAAAATGCAATGAATAGAAGAAGATTGTTGGGAGTGGAATAGATCTGCACAAGAAGTGTGGGGAGTGGGGGGCAAGCAGTAAAAATTTAGTGAGACCTTTAGAGCAGAATACTGCACAAGTCTGAGCAGTTTGAGCAGAATACTGCACTTTGGATATTTTTGTGTACAGCCTGAGGTTTGTCATAATATTCACTCCCTGGAGAAGAAAACAAATAATGGCAGCAGGCCATAAAAGAGACCCAGCTAGGGAACAGTTTAATGAAGTTCCTCTACCTACAGGTAAGGCAGGCATGCATGCAAATTCTGTAGAAAATCATTATTTAAATCCAGTCTTACTGACCAGTGATTTAAATGATTTAAAGAGTGATTTAAATCAACTCTATCCTGATTACACCAATGAAAACATGACTGCAACAATGTCAGTTAGGATAAAGATAACATTCACCATACAAGGCAACCTACTGTGAATTAATTTACACATATGGGCTGTTTTAAGAACGGGTGCCTACAGGCACCATTTTTACATGAGAACCAGCTTGTCATGTCATATTAACCCAGGCAGCAGGGATAATATGACATGACAAAACCAAAAATAAACCACAGCTTATGTGTAGGCTATCTAACCCTCAAACAGCCCTTGCCACCTGGCAGGATGGATTTAATTTAAATTAAATCAATTTAAATCACTAGTCATTAAGACTAGATTTAAATCATGGTTTTCTACATAATTTGCAAGTATCCCTACCCTACCTGTAGGTTGAAGAATAACCCCAGCAAGCTATGCATGTAGCATGATATACCACCTCAAACAGGAAGCTAATCTACGGTAAGCCATCATATGAATCAGGTCGTTGTGTTTGCTCTGCAGATGCTTGGGAGAAATAGGCAAAGAGCATTACTTCCATGCTCTTCTTATGAGCCACACAGAGACCAGCTGCAATAAGAAACAAAATGCCGGCCTAGATGGACTCATCAGTGAGCAAGGCCTATGTACTCCTGTGGTTTTAACAGCAACAGGCATACTAGTGAAACATTTTCCATCACTCTTGCCTCCAAGCTAGAAAACCTAGGTGTGCATGTTTCAAAAAGTGGTACCCCTATGCCAGGAATAGCAACCAACAATAGACTAGAGGTTCCCAGCATATTTCCAGACTCAAAGGTGCTGATGTCAGTCTTTAAACTCCCAAGCAACCTTGATCAGGTTATCTGAAGGAATGTTTTCCTAATTATGTTGTACCTTGTGCCTTAAAAGAGACCCTGTTTTGTACACTTTCATTTTGCAAAACTAGCACAAGGTCCTAGACCTTTTCTTCAACAGCACCTTGTCACTAAAACTTAATTCACAGGACAAATTCCATCCTCAGTACTCTCCTGAAGATTAGCCAAGACTGTTCATAAAGGATTTTGACGTAACAGAGTGAACATGAGGTTGATTTCTTCACATTCTTAATGTGTGTCACATTGGTTTATTTTAATTCATGACTGATTTAATATGTTATCATAGATGACAATGCACCTCAAAAACCCATTGTAAACCTGTCATGTAGTAACATGAATGTTCCAACTTTTTTATGACCCACCTATAAAATAGAGCCACATATTGAAGGAACTTTGAAAACATAAACCATCACATGCAGCATAAGGTAAGTGGTACAAATTGTTCTAAGCATCTGAGATAGGATCAGTGGCTTTCCAGCTTGCTATATGAGTGCCTGTTTGCTTTTACTATGCTCTACTCATATTTGCTGTTGTGCTTCCACTGTTCTCCATCCAAAAGGAAATAAAACCTCTGCACTACTCCTGGAACTTCTCACCATTCACTACAGATGTGATTTTTTTGTTTATTAGTAAGAATAGTGGCAGCAGTAGTGACACACCTTCTTTTGTTTTAAAGGTGCTCCTGCAAAGTAAATGAATACGGCATATGCAGTAGGCCTAATTCTCATTTAGGCAGCAAACCTGTCTAGGCTATGCAACTTTAGACTACAAGCAGGGTTTATTTAAAAAGTGCTATATGCTCCTTACTACAATTCTCACACACTTCAGAGGCATCTGTATCTTTGTGAAAAATCCTATCATCCTGTTTTTCTTGTTTTTAATCTTCTTATGAACTTTTAGCATTGAAGTTTTCTCCTCCAGGATTTTTGTGAACTGTGAATCCATGTTTATTGTAAACCAGTATTTCAACTGAGCCAAAGTTTTAAATATAAATTCAGCTGAGTTCAGCTGATGAAGCCCGAGTAGATTCATAAATAAGACCCAGCTCTCAAACCATAGGTGAGGAGCCCTGGGCTGGCTAAAACAAGATACAAGCAGTGATTCACAGCCGTACATATCAGAAAGTTGTCTAGCTATCAAGGGAACGAAGGTATAGTAAGCCTTACCCCAGAAATGAATTTCCTATGCAAAGCAAATTGTGTGTAAAAGCGTTCCATCCCACGGGCGGCTGGGTACCCTGTAAATTCCTATCACAAGTTTACCTTGCCCTGGAAAGCTCAAGCACTATTCCTTTGGGTATGACTGGGGTGACGACTGGGTGCGATTTAGTAAGTGCCCCTCTTAAAATGTAGTGTGTATAAGCACTTTTAAACTGTGTAACCGTTGAAATTATCAATATGCATCATCCTGTTGAAATCTGTCCAAACAGCCTGAGGGCGGGACGGGTTGGTGGTGACTGCGGAGGAACGTGTGACTTGCCCAAGGCTACCTAGTCATTTTCTGGCAGAGCAGAAAATTTGAACTGAGGACCTCCTGATTCGATCTGTTTGGCACACCAACTATCTCCATGAGAAAGCCGTCGGAGAGTCGGGAACACAGCGGGTCACATCGATTCGCCGGCAGAAGAGCTGAATAGATCACGATATGAACAGAGCAGGGCTGCTCGCTCCCTGGACAAACGGGTGGACTAACTGACCTTGCCGGATGTGCCATCGCCCAACACCACGAACTTTAGCTGCCGGTCGGAACACTCCTCCTCCTCAGAGTCCGACATAGCTCCGCTAGCCGGAGGAAAGGAGGAGCCGCGCTCACACTCACTCAAAGAGACGACGACGACGCCATCTTTCTCTCCTCGGCGCCGTTCGCAAAGCTCTGCGCCGGACTAAACCAACAAACAGAAAAAGAGAGGGGAGAGAGGAAAGCAGAGAAAGCTTTCGACGGGCTTGGAGAACCAATTCAGAAAAACAGAAGAGGGAAAGAACAAAGCGAAAAGGCGCCATCGTAAGGCGAGCAGCACGAATCGCCAACGCGAGAGATGCCTAATCTGAACGTTTCCCCCTTGCTTTAAATCAATGGTTCAATCCTGGAATGAACAGCCGCAGTAGCTTGGTATCTAACTAAGCCCAGCACAGTAACTAAGGCCCGCAAAGGGTGAAAGGTGACAAGGGAGAGGAAGCAAGGAACGCCTCTTTTACCTGCCTCAGTGGGCGGAGCATCAGAAGTAAATGCCAATAGCAGGGAAGGAGGCGGGGAGAGCCAAGAAAATTTACTCATGCGCGTCGCCTGTTGTTTCCACAGTGCACCGCTTGTATAGGATGCGGTGAGTGGCAGCGGATTGGCTGGCCGGAGAGCGCAAGAACGATCCTCCTACTACTGTACAAACTAGCATGAATTAAAAATGTTACATGTAAATAAATAGAACTAAAAGAATATTACTTAATATAAATAACAGTCCCATTTCACCTCCGTGCATTTTCTCTGTGTATATGTAACAGATTTATGTGGAATGTATAGCCTGAAAGATGCAGTGAGTGAGCAATACTGGCTAGGAAGGGGCCTTCTATACCTATTTCCCCACTGCAAGGCCTTTTGTCAAGATCACCCGCTGCAAGGTCCGAGGTGCAACAAAAAGAAAAGAATTTTCAGATTCAGGCCACCACAAGGTTTGTTTGCTTGACCTTAATTTTGAAGAGGATACGGAGGGGTGGAAGAAAACGGTGGCCAAATGCAAAGAAGAATGATGCACCTATATCTTTAATAATTGTGTGGAGGAAAATGTACAAGGTAGTGTCACTTTTTTAACCTCTACATACCAAGATGCACTCCCCACAGGTGTCCTAATCTCTCTATAAGACATGGACTCCACTGGCCTTGGACTGCTTTCCTTCTTTCTTTCTCTCAGCCTTCCTCAAAGAAGCAGTAGGGGCAAAGGACCTAGACCAGGGGGCCGGTTGAAAGGTGGTGGTGGCAGCGGCAGGCCGGTGAGGCGAGGGTGTCCACGGGCACGAGCCAGTGAGGCGGCGGTGGCGGCAGGCTCACATGCAGCAAGGTGGCAGCTTGCTCACCCAGAGATCATTTTCTCTGAGTGAATCCAAAATGATCTCCGAGCGAGCGGCAAGGCGGGTGGCGGGTGCAGGTGTGGAAAATCCAAAGGCGGGCCAGATAAATGGCATGGCAGGCTGGATCCGACCCTCGGGCCATAGTTTGAGGACCTATGGCCTAGACTAACTCAGAACGAGAGCAAATGCTTTGGATACAAAAGGGCCCAGGTACAGTCCCCGAGTTCTCCAGGTAGAGCTAGGACGGATTGCCTGACTCCGTTAAGGTATCTTCCCCTGTTCTTAAACTAAACAAACAAAAGAGTTAAGGAACACATGGGCATATATGGCTGTTGAAAACAAAAGTTGCTGTTTGAAAGTGGGTTCCATTCTTCTAATTGAAATTAAACATGGGTGCTGAATCTGAAAAGATTGGAGGCTGGAGGTTTAAAACACTGGCAGTTCTTTTACATTAAAATGGGCCCAAAGAGTAGACTTTCCTTGAAAGTACCAAATGTGATTATGTGTAGGTACTGCCTTTTGTTTTAGAGAGCTGAGTGGTACCGGAGAAAGTAGGGAATTCTACATTAAATGCTCATTATTGAGCAAAACAAGAGACTCCTTTTTTCCAAAACACAGTGCAACCTGATAGAAGTCCTCCTGTGTTCAGAATGATGTGTTCTACTAAGAGTGCTTAGAGGTGCAGACTTGCTTGCATTTTGATAAACATTTCATTATATTTGCCTTTCCCTTACCTTCACTATGTTTATTTTTAGATTATTAATTTCATTTCTAGACTGGCCAGAGCTGTCTAGCTGGGTCCCAACAATTTATTTCCCTGTTCTTCGAACATGCTGGAACAAAAACAAAAATACTCCATTTAATTTCCATTTCCATTTCATTTCCATTTTAATTATCCTTAACACAAAATACATCTGCCTTTCTTATCTAGTCACCATAAACATTAATGAAGGTCACCATTTGCTACTTCTGGTTTTTTGTCTTTAGCCAGCAGAGTGCACTTGCCCCTCATATGGGCCATTTCCACAAAGGAGCCTGTGAAATAGTGTGAGCAGAGCACAGCAATAGCGGTGGCTTTGACTTCATTATGATAGCACTGTTTCCTGTTTTAGTAAATTGGGATGACGGTGTTTGGAACGTTCTGCATTTAGCAACATTCTGCCAAGAATTCTGCCTCCCAAGAGGACAATTCCTTTTATCAGCATTTCATGTATTATATGAAAAGGAAATGATACCTCCAAGTAGTGCCTTTCAGATCAAAGCAACAAAAAGTCCCTTCTATCATGTTAGCTTAATATCTGAGGACAAATTTTCCCAACAGTGGAGTTCGGATTTTTATGTGCATCTTTAGATCAGGTGTGCACAGCCTGCAACCTTCACCCTTTCTCTGTACAGCACCCAGCCCGGAGAGGACCCGATTCGCTTTTCCTCACTGCAGTGGAAAAAACCCTGCTATTCCTTGCTTCTAGCAACAACAAAGCAGAAACAGTGGATTTCCCTTCTCCTCATGTCTACCCCTCTATCTCAAAGAGCAGACCACTAAAATGAATGGTAGGGAAGAAAATTGTGTGTGTGTCATTGTGTGCATGCACACACCTGTTAACATTCTAGTGAACACTGGGTGTGACCCTTGGAATCAAAAAGTTGGACATTCTTGCTTCAAACAGATCTGCCTTCTGCCTTCAAGCCCTACCTAGCACTATGATGATCCCAGGGGTTCTGTTTTGGGATACAAGTTTTCCCATCTTGAGACAAAGGTGTCAGGGACTGTATGATAAACCTCCTCACATAAGCATAATGCGTGCCTGATGTTAATGAAGATAGAGAAGCACACCAGTTAGATTACCTGATACTCTATCTCTTTTATGAGAGTTTTGTATTGCCACTGATTAACTGAAATGCAACATAAAGTCATAAGCAAGCTTTTGAAAGCTCAGGATTTCATCAGGTTGGATATTAAGACAATTGTTGGTAGGAAGAGGGGCGGGGGCAAACTAGGTAGTTGGCTGTATATGATCTTGCTGCCCCAAAATCTGTAATTCAGAATGGTCTTAAGGGGAGTCAACCCTGAGCATTAACATCTTCTTACGGTATCAGGTTCCATAAACTAGAGTCCAACAGCTGCATGAAGATTTTTCCTGTAACATGGTTCGGAGGAGTGGATGAAAGGTTCTGTAACAGATAATGCATAATGAATCTAATTAAGTGGACTGGAATCTATGAAAGCATAAGACATTATAACATTCCTCAGTCTCTAGGTTTGCCATACAACTCATTCATACAGCATTAAGATTTCACATCTGTATTCTAGCACTCTAGTCTCAGTAGCAAAAGGGAATGGAAATGTTTTCCTGAAAGAGCATCCCAGACTGTTCCTTCCCACTTCTACCACTACATTGTTTTTCTTTCTTGTATTAAAGAGAAGTCCATTCCCTCAAGAGATGCTGCCCAGCTCTTTTCTTACCCCATAGCTTGGATTCATATTCCAGAGTACCTGTTTGAGGTCCTCTCTCTTACTTCCTTCAGACCCTGCTCAAAACCTGCCTATCAGTGAAGCCTTTGACACATCAGCATTTTTCCATGCTGTACTGTAACTATGTATGTAAAATGGCCTAAGTACATGTAGCTGATATAATCACCCCTTGCCTCCCATTCTTCTAATGCATCCTTTCTCAACCTGAGACACATACCTGCTCCTTCTATAAGGAAATATTGCTAGAGAAGGTGGGCAAAAGTGTTGAACACCACTTGAAGATCTTTCCAGCAGAGACTCAAAAGTAGCCACTCTCCTTCTCTGGGGCTAAGTTTCTCATACTGTTGGACTACAGTTCCCATCATGCCTGACAATGTCGGCTGGAGACAATGGGTCCTGTATTCCAGCAATGTCTGGAGGAAGAAAGCCTCAAGTGTAAATGGAATTAACTGGGGGCAGGGGGAGTGCTGGGTTTCCCATCCCCACTCTAAGCCCACCAAAGCAAAATGCAAAATGGTCCGTACTGCTTACAGCACATTTTAAGAGTCACAAAATGAGGCTGTCATCCCTGCATGAATATCTGGATCCTGCTAAGGATATTACATGAGTGAGTGTAAATAATGACACTTTTAAAAGCCCCAGTTTAGAATGCTGCCTGGTTCTGGCCCTGCTTGCACAAGCTGTAATTTTAAAGGCTCAAACCTTTTATTCAAAGTGACAGAAACCTACAAATTTTTATTGCTCTGCATTTAATAAAATTTACATTTACAAGCTGCCAGTTTGTAATGCTGAATAGCTTCTAGTTTAGAATGCTGAACACCAGGCTGGGGTGTACTCTAGGTTCATTACTGCCTACTTCTGCTTTTTTTTTCTTTTTCTTTTTCTCTTTTTTCTTTCTTTCTTTTTTTTATTCATGGAATAATCCTACAGCCCAAGGAGCTTTTTTGGTTGTTACTGTTATCTCTATTAATTCACCACTGGTACAAACACATCCATTGATATTGCAGAGAGGCCAGGAAAAGGAATTTATCATGCCCCCATAAAACAAGGCATAATTAAGAACTCCCCTTCTGCTTGTTTAACGTGCTAATATGAGAACATTAGGGCCAATGTCCCACCTAGGACTCAGTTTCTGCAGCTGTCTGGGTGTTTGTTAATTTACAGACTCAATTATGTGGAGTCCCTTAAATCCACAGCGGTGGTGGGTGGTAAGGTAGATGGTTAATGAAGAAAGGTAAGGTAGAAAACCACTTTAATGCCTGTTTTATATGCATCTTGGGTAACAGTTTCTTGAGAACAAAGATCAAAGATTGTAACTTTAGGAATTCTCTAGGTGAAAATAAATCTACATGGTATTAA